GAAATGTTTTATTAAGAAGATATGACATTCCAGCTTCATCAGTATCTTCATTAATCTTTGGATAAACAGATCGGATTGAACATTGAAGAATATTGCATAGTGCTAAAATCTCCCACAATGTAGAATCCTTCTTATCATAGATCATTTCTGTTCTTTGATATTGACGAAACGGATCAATAAAATCTGTACAATGGGGGTATGTTTGCTGGTAATCTTTCAGTTTTACTACTAATTCAACATTTGCTCGAACTAGAAGTTCCGCAGGACTTGCCTCAAACTTTGGCATTAGTACTTTAACAGCATTGTAAAAACAATTACCATCAGGGGCCGTAATTAGGGGTACCATTTTTTGCTGAATAAATATAGAAAAAACCAAATTGCAAAAAAACACGCGTATAGAGAGTAATTGTGATAGTGCGTTATGGTAGACAGCCAGAGGTACTCTTCTTCTTCTTTATAAGAGTTTATTTAAGGATAACATCGAGTCATTGCACAACTTCAACCATTGTGCAGAATATAGGAAAGAACAGCGAAGTTGATTTCTGCAGTTCGTCTGCAGATCAAGTTCGTGTGTTCGATCCTAGCTTCGTGCAAGGATTGATTTTGTGTTTTGATAGTTTAAGTTTCAGAATGATACAATGAGAATTTATATTCTCGATATCGTTCTGGTTCAAGATTAAAGCTTAAACCAAGAGTTTATTTAGAATTTTTCAGCCTAACGACAAAGTGTTCTCAGGTGCTTCTCTACGTTTCTGATTTATTCACATATCAATCGACAGAATATATCGATATGGTAGAACGCCTAAAAGAATTTTGGTCGATGGCTCTTGAGGGCCCACTACCTAGCTCTACCCTACCTTTCTCTGCAAAGTTATAAAATTTACAAAAAAAGTCCTAAATTAATTTCTTATTTCTGTAGCTTTGAACTGAGAATGGACCCTCAGGGTTTTTCTTCGTAAATCCTATAACTTTGCAAAGAAGGATAGTGTAGAGCTGGAAGATGTCTCATTTTAATCAGAAATTTGCGACCTATACTCATGTCTGATTAGGAAGAGTTTGGCTGTTTTTTAGAGTTTCTGAAAAACTGGATCTCTGAAAAATCGGGTACTCAGGAGCCATCGGCCAAAATTCTTTTAGGTGCTTTACCATGTCGATATACTCTATCGATTGTATGTGAATAAATCAAAGAGTATATAACGGAGAGAGGCACCTGAGAACGATTCATCGTAGGAAGTATTTAGTAACG